TGTGGAGTTCCCGGAAACGAAAAAGCTGATAAACTAGCTAAGGAAGGTGCAACTGAAGAACAACCTGACATACCAGTCTCTTATCAACAGAAGAAGAGAATGATCAAATCAATCAGAATGCCACCGAAACTGGCACAAGATGATTACCATATTATGACCAGAGCAAGTTATTATCCTTTGCCTTAGAACAGGGCACAATAGGCTTCACTCCCACATGTACAACAAATTTAAGATTGGCCAATCGGCCATGTGTACTTGTGGACTGGCACCTGAAACAACAGATCACATCCTTCAAGACTGTCCCATATTCAACGCTTTCAGGCAAAACATTTGGCCAAAAGAGACACTTGTGGAAGTCAAACTTTACGGGCCGCTTAGTGAATTACAAAAGACAGTGAAATTCATACAAGAGACGGCTTTGCAGATATAGACAATTTATTTCATGCGAACGAAAGAAGAAGAAGAAGAAGTTGTAAACCCTTTGGCTCGGTACTATAGATATCGCAACCTCTCGGTCCTAATTCCATGATAGATACCGTAAATCTGGGAAATATATAGCTTTTCTGCCTACTCCCAAGCGTGAGCTCGAACCACAAGCAGTTTGTCAACCGGTCGCCGGGCAGCTGGTTTAACCAACTTAGCAAGCGCGCCGGGCCAGTGTTAATCTTAAGAGAGCTGGTCTGAACGATGTTTTACTGTAGTAACTATGCATCCAGGTTTCTTCTCCAAACTGAAGTACTAACTTTATTGTTAAGTGTTAAAAAAAAAAAAAAAAATATTTCTCCCTTTACTTTGACTTTCACGGATTTTCTAATGCTGTGAATTCCCTTCTTATCTTGTTAATTCCTGTTTTTATATCTTTATCGGTGCTTCCATCTTGTCTACATCGCTGGTGCGATTTTTACTTCTTCTGTATAGATCAAAACTAACACAAGTTTAATCAACATTGATGTTTCCCACGCCATTCTGTGCGTTGAACAAGTGAGCTAGGAATATGCACCTCGCCTTTTTCATACTGCACCAACGGAATATTCTTCCAGTAAATCTTCAGTGTAGGTGTAAGTAAATGTTATGCCTCTAACTGACAAAAATAACACGTTTAGAACACATTTTCTTTGTTTGAATGTTTATTTGTTTGATTCTTTCATTATTTCTTTCTTTTGCTCTAACGACAACGCATGCTCCCCCTCATCTTCTTTTTCTTGCTCTCTTCCTTCTTCTTCTTTGCCATCCTCTCTTTTTCCAAACCCCACTCCCTGCTGCCCCACACTGTGTTCTTCATCGTCGTCACAGTGTTGCCACTTTGGATGTTTGACATCCAGATTTAGATGTTTTCCCTTGCATTTAGATGGCGTTTTTGACGTTTAGATGGTAGATGTTTTTCTAAACGTTTTTCATTTGGAGTGAATTTATCAAATATAACCTAAGAAAACAGATGGAATTTGACCTCTTAAATGCTATTTTGACAGTAAAATTCGGCCTGATAAGAAGTAGGAAAAGGCTGTTTCACTTATCAGCTTCCTGACTGGGTATTAAAAGAAATTGGAACAGCTAAAGCATTCCAGAGTCATTTTGGATCTGAAGCTTCAACTTCATCATCCAAGCTAAGTTTATCCTGTGGATCTTGTGAGGCAGACTTCAGTAAAGACGAGGAAATGATTCTATAGGGTAAGTCATATCAATTGGTATGTAATTTGTGACTTTTTCCATTTAGATGTTTTTTCTAGATGTTTTCCCACGCAAATGTAGATGTTTTTAGATATTTTTGACTCCGTTTTGGATGTTTTTTTTGGTCAAAGAAAAGTGGCAACACTGGTCAACACGGTCTCCGCCTTCTTTTATTGTTGCTGTTGTTTGCGTTCACCGGCTGTAAACCCCTGCGGAAAGACCTGGTTTTTCATCCATTTTCTGGACTTTGGCTTTGTTCCAGGGCCTGGGTTTTGCGTGTGCATCCGTTTTACAGATTTTGCTGATTTTTATGTAGTCTATTAGTTCCTTACCTCTCAGGCAGATGCACTCCGACTTCGAAGGGTGTCCCCAATTAGATGACTCGTACGACATGCTTGTTGAGGCGGCAGTGGGTTCATTCTTGTTTTTCCCGACAATGGGGCCCCAAACCAATATGAGGATCCGCCATCTTTTGTATTGCCTGCCTCCTTTCTCTCCTTCTTCCCTGCTCCCATTTTTTGTTCTTGTCTACTCCCTCTTATCTTTCTCTGCCTTTATTCTTCATCTAAAAGTCAATGAAATATGTGTGTGCAGTCTGGTGAAGGTCTTATACATGACCAAACCACAAGACTCACACTGGACACATTTCGACACAATCCAGTCCAAGAAAAGGGCGAGGATCCTGAAATACTCCAAATTTTGTCCGGGCAGCGCCGTTAGGCAACTCTTTTCGATTTCCAACTGCCAAGGAATTTTTTTACGTGCTTAACAAAGCACACAAGCTTCCGATCTCACTACACAGACACCTGGGTGATTACTAGAGGTCCAAGTCCACGTGAAAAAATCCAAGCCCTTACCGGAGATTGAACCCGGAACCTCTAGCACTCAAGGCGTATACAATGCCTCGAGATTCCCTTGGCAGTAGTGAAACGTCGCAAGCTAGCATGGTTTGGACAGGTGATGATACACGATTCGATTGAAAAGACTGTACTTCAAGGAACAATGGGATGTAGTCGAAGAAGAGGAGGGCAAAGAAGAACCTGGAATGACAACATCAAGAAATGGACAGGACTAAGTTATCATACACTTATTCATCAAGCTGAAGACAAAGTTGGCGGGTTTTATGTGCTAGTGCTTCCAATAATACACCTCCATGACTATAACGGGTCAAGGGTTATGTTATGTTATGTATGTTTTTCCAAGACCATTCTAATGTCCTTCCCCTTCTATATAATATACGAACTCCACATCGAGAGCATGCACAGCTGGAGTCTACCGATCACCAGCAACGGGCCCCTCTCAATAATTGTTTCGGCCCTGTTTCCTAGATAATGTCGAGGGTTGGGCCGCCCTGGTTTCATGACTCCTAGACTTCAGACATCCCCTGCTGCGCATATCGGACAAGACGAAATGGTGGTTTTGCAACAGGTAACTCAGGTTATGTCGGCTCTGTGGCTAAGTCGATGCGAACGCTTCGTAATGCCGGGGTACCGGGTTCGATCCCAGCTGCGGGCCATAACTTGCGTGGTTTCGACAGTGGTATCAGGGAGCCGACCGTCGAGGAGCAATGGCAAACTACTGGACGTAAATTTGCCTAGTGAAACCACACAACAGCCAGAGGCTGATGGGGTTGGTTCTGCTACGTCCTGTAAAGGACATGAAAAACTAACCTTTTAAACTCAGGTTATTTAATTATATATACATCGTTGCTGTGGTAGCAAATTGTGCGCCTACCAGTTATATTAAATGTTATCCGGAAATATTTCATCACCTTTATCGAAAGGAATTTTTTTTCCAGAAAAAAATCCGGACATCCAGATCAAGCCAGCATAAATGAATACTTGAAATTTCCTGGGAAATGAAGGCGGCCGGCATCTATAAGGTACCGATTTGTCTATAAAATATCGATCCGATGCACCATTGGCTTGAAACGAATCTATTATTTCCCCTATAAGCATATGCAACCTACTAAGCTCACAATTGAAACAAAAACACTTGTCTATCAGGCTTGTGTTCTCAGCAATCTGCTTTATGGCAGTGCAACTGTCAACCTATTTACACCCGGAGAGACGGCCAAATAGCTTTCACCTGCGATGCCTAAGAAGAATACTTGGCATTAAGTGGCAAGACAAAAGGTACTGGAAAGAGCAGGTTCTACAAGATTTTTCCATGCTCAGTCTACGAGGCTTAGGTGACTGCGTCACACCTGGACAATGGAGGATGGCAGAGTCCCTAAGGACATCCTTTATGGTGAATTAAGAGGATGTCGAGGCCGACTTCTACTACGATATAAAGATGTGTGCAAGGGGGACATGAATGATACAGGTATTGAGGTGGACTCATGGGAACAAAATGCCATAGACCGTGTTGTGTGAAAAGGGCATATCAGGAAGGGAATGAGAGTGGAGAAAGAAATGATTGCAGAAGGGATGACAACTGAGCGCCTGAAAAGAAACGGATTAAACACAAATGTTGACAACAATGGTCCTGAAATCCCATACTATCATCGTGGAAGACTTTTCTTGACACGGGTAGGTCTTGCTAGTCACACTCGCCATCGCCATGGGCTGTGAGTCCCATGCCTCCTTATAGCGCAATATAACACTATCGTCTGGAAGGACGGAGAGGTGCCAAGGTGCAAATCGAATATGAAAACTACGGGGTGCAACAGAGTTAGGCAAAATAGAAGTATCACAAGTAAATATAATACATTATCACAGGGTCTCTTGAACTTATGAGCGAATTTGCCCAGCTCTCTAGCGTAGTTGGTTAAACCTGACTTTTGCGGCGGCCGGGTGACTTACTCCTTGTGGTCCGGGTTCACTTCCGGTGGTAGGCAGAAAAGCCACATTTCTCCCAGATTAACGGTACCTATAATAGATTTAAGGTCGAATGGTTGCGATATCCATAGTACTGAGCCAAAGGGCTTACAACTCATGGCTTCTGGATACTAAAAAAAAAAAAACAAATTCCGTTCCGACTTAGACTTCGTAAGTCGAACTAGTCGCAAATCGAATGTATGTCTTCTAACATCATTTTTATTCGAATGGGTTATAACATAAAACACAATGAAGCAGTTAATGCTTGTATAGATAAAAGTGCTATACATAATGTAAAAAATACATAATATGTACTCTACTGGATCAGTTCGGGCAACTTTTGACCCTACCAGTATTCTTATCTTTCTTCATATACTAGTTGTAAGTGTGTGTTTACATGTGTGTGTGCAAACGTAAGTGCGAATGGACATAAGTCGCATAAGTCTTAAGACGAGGATAAGGTTTAACTACAGTATTGTAAGTTCTGTTTGTGTCTCTTCCTTCCTTTCTTGATCATGTGTCTGGAAGCACGGCTGTAAGCCGCACTTCTTGCTCTAACAAGGGCTGCTGGAGTCGACAGAACATCTTCATGAAGGTGGTTCTAAACACCGAACTCATGGTTACATAGAGGAAGAAACTAGATGCAGAGTTGACCGCCAACAGCGTGTCTGTGATCTCCCGGATCCCCTTCACCAGATAGTTCTCCTCCACATAGCCTTTGCCAAAGAAGGTCGACATAATGGCGTCGGGGGTGATGCAGACGAGAAACATGAATACAATCACTATCAGCATAAGTGTTATTCTGTTTCGAGCCGAAAATGTTTTTCCCTTTACGCGCTCTTTGCGTAGCTCGTTTATGATTTTAGCATTGAGAACGATGAGAATAAAAACAGGAATGATGCCCCTAGAGGAGTTGAGAATCCACGAATAAGGAATTATAAAAGCGGCGTTCTTACCCAGGGCTGTAGGGACAATGAGGACACATGATGTGTTGAATCTGCGGTCAAAAACGGTTCGCATCTCATATCTTAACGCAGATGGTACGGCCAGCACGCTCATGAAGATGAACACGAATGTGCAGGTGCATCTGGCTCGAGGGATGGTGCAGAGCTCTCTAGCTCTGGAAGCGTAGCAAACAGAGATGAACCTCTCCACAGCCACGCTGACAGTTAACCAGGAGGTCACACAGACCGACATGTTGAAAATATAATGGGCAATTGGGTACATTGTGCTCATCATCATCTGCGACAAGGTTGGGTTCGTCAACGACACGGCAACTATGATGAAATACATGAGGTCATTGAAGAGCTTGATGGTGTCTGACACAGCTAGAAACAGGAGGTAGACGTTGGTTGAGGTTCTCATATCTCTGTGCTGGAATACCGCTAAGGCCAGGATGTTTGTGGTGATGCCGACGATACAGGAGATGGGATAGACGACAAGTCCGGTGACGTACTGGGCGGTCAGGTAAAAATCCTTGTATTGTTCTGAGACGTTCTGCAGGCACGACAAGCTATGTTCTAACACAACCTGATTGTTTGACGGCGCTGTAGTGAGTGTCATGTTGGTTTGAAAAGGAAACAGTGTTGAATCTTCCGTATTGTTTGAATCCATGGCATACGTTGATGGACAATATCGATATTGTCATGTGAATTTACACGAAATCGAATTCTTTATGTATCTTCAAACTTTGACCTCAAGCATCAGATTGTTTGATTTCAATCAAATGTTTATGTAAGCCCACAAGGTTGCAACTCCAACTTTTATTCTCTAATACGGATAGCATTTTGTAACTGCTTGTTGTAGTTTTGGATCATCAGTATCAACACATTGTAACTTTATCAACACGTTGTAACTTTATCAACATATTATAAGTTCGTGTTTTTTTTATGTAGCCTTGATATCGTTTGCAATTTCAATTGTAGTTACAATATTTCTCCGGCGTGAAATGAGTTTTTATTCCGAATCGCTAGATTATGTCTAGCACACTAGATTCGACCTTTTGTAACCCCAAGTCTAGTTCTCTAGTTTTCTCTACTTAATACATTTTATTGCAGTTCTTTGTGCTGGCATTTCCCCATTGATAGTTAATCGTGCTATCGTACAACTTCAATAGTTTTTTAACAATTCTTTAAATATGTGCCGTCTCCACAGTGAAGGTAGGCTATATCGTACCCACTGCTGTCTTTGTGAATATTATGCAGTGAGGCCCCAATTTCCACCACAGTGCAACTCTCATATCACTGTCCGAAAACTAGGAGAGCTGAGTTTCTAACCCACCGGAAAAAATCGAATCCTTGTAATCGAGAACCATTAACTTGTAAACTCTTTCAGAACCAAGGAACTCCACGTACTCTGTTCATCGTACCCGTTTCTTTACATTTCCCATCAAATTCTTCTATAATGTTAACCCCTTACATTTTAATTGTTATTATAACACTTTCTGTCCCGAAGCTATACTTTTCAGTTTTTGAGACCCACACTTTGTCGCCCTAAGATGCAAAAACGTTAGATTAGACGATGTTACGATGTTGAATCAAAACAACATGGGACTGAAACAGTTAAACGCAAGCCACTAGTGAAAGAGCCACACAGGAGTAATAATAATATTAAATCGTTAAAAGACTACTTCTGTAGCTTTCTCTACCAGAAACAAAATTAGAACTTTACTTGCAGTTCTCCTGTGCTGATTTTCTGCCACTGAATACCTTCACTGTTTATTCTGCTATCTTTTCTGATAATAAACCAATAGGTTTAATATTCCTGTTCCAACATTAGGTGACACCATCTAGTTCTCCAGTACTGAGGTATGACAACGCTGTGTCGTCTTAGTTGTCTGTTTGAGTACCTTGTAATTTGAGATGAGTAGTTTCGTTATCCCGCGACTTCGGCTCTTGAGTTCGAGTCCTTGTGGTCAATTATATCGATGTCTGGTGAAGTGGGGCCGATGTAGTGACCTGATTATTTGGAGCCAAACCACACCTGATGGGAAAAAGATAAATGTGATTAAGGTAGGATTTACCACAAGTGCACACATTTATTAACAGTTGTAACTCTTTTCTTTCTTTGATCTAGCGGCGGCGATGGCAGCAGCAGTAGTAGTAGTAGTAGTAGTAGTAGTAGTACTAGTACTAGTAGTAGTAGTAGTAGTATTAGTAGTGGTAGTAGTAGTAGTAGTAGTAGTAGTAGTAGTAGTAGTAGTAGTAGTAGTAGTAGTAGTAGTAGTAGAAGTAGAAGTAGCAGCAGCAGCAGCAGTAGTAGTAGTAGTAGTAGTAGTAGTAGTAGTAGTAGTAGTAGTAGTAGTAGTAGTAGTAGTACTAGTAGTAGTAGTAGTAGTATTAGTAGTGGTAGTAGTAGTATTAGTAGTGGTAGTAGTAGTAGTAGTAGTAGTAGTAGTAGTAGTAGTAGTAGTAGTAGTAGAAGTAGAAGTAGCAGCAGCAGCAGCAGTAGTAGTAGTAGTAGTAGTAGTAGTAGTAGTACTAGTACTAGTAGTAGTAGTAGTAGTATTAGTAGTGGTAGTAGTAGTAGTAGTAGTAGTAGTAGTAGTAGTAGTAGTAGTAGTAGTAGTAGAAGTAGAAGTAGAAGTAGCAGCAGCAGCAGTAGTAGTAGTAGTAGTAGTAGTAGTAGTAGTAGTAGTAGTAGTAGTAGTAGTAGTAGTAGTAGAAGTAGTAGTACTAGTATAAGTAGTGATAGTCGCAGCATAATTTACAGCAGCAGTAGTAGAGCTAGTGGTGGTGGTGGTAGCAGTAGCTGTAGTAAAGATGGTAGTAGTAGTAGTAGTAGAAGTGGTAGCAGCAGTTTTACTGACAATGATAGAAGTAGTCGGTGTATTAGCAGCAGCAGCAGTAGCAGCAGCAGTAGTAGTAATGTAACATACCCGTTAGCAGCTACCATATTAATAGTAGTATTATTAACACTAATAGTTATAACATCTATGGTAATAGTAGATGTAACAGTAATCTGAGCCATAGTAGTATCAAATGTAGTAACAGTAATAAAAGTAGTAAGTATAATGTCACTAATCTTAGATGTAGCTGCAGTAATGCTAATGCAGTAAACGACCAATAACAAAATTAGTTGTGTATCCTTTACAGGACGTTGCAGAACCAACCCCAGCATTTTTTTGTTGCGGTTGCGGTTTTTCTTGGCAAATTTCCCTCCAGTAGTTTGCCATTGCTTTCTTGACGGTCGACTTCTCGATACCACTGTCGAAACCAACGCAAGGCGTAAGGCCCGCAGCTGGGATCGAACCCGACACCCCAGCATTACGAAGCTCGTTCGCAACGCCTAAACCACAGACGCTATTACTGCTTGTATGTATCGCTTTTGCAGTGTAAGGGACCTTGAGCCTTTGAGCCTCAGGATTTAGGATCGCATGGCTACTGCTGTTGTCGTGGACTGTGCAGTTGATGGATTTTATTGTTGTCCCTCCCTTACCCCCCGTCCCTCTGACACACACACACACACACACACACACACACACACACACACACACATATATATATATATATATATATATATATATATATATATATAAACCACAACCTTAGCGTGGATTCGAATGTGTAAAGGCCCCTACAGAATGCGAGGCCACAAGCTGTAGTCTGGTTAGTTTATACCTAAATCTAGTACTTGTTACATCCCTTGCCTGTCACAGCTTTTTCTAGCTAGTATCCGTTTCCTGTGTTCACACACACGCTAGAGCTTCAACTAGGCAGAGAGACATGTTGGAATTATCTCGGAGATACTTCAGTGGGTGGTTTTGTGTATTTTTGTTCATAATTGTAACATTGTCTAGTCATGTAGTATTCCGATGAAGGCTTCAGTGGCGCAACGTTCACTAGCCCTTTGTTTTTGTGGTAATGTGAAGCTGACATGTTCTACTTTGATATATTTTCTGGCATTCTGAAGTTCGGGGAGTTCGTTTCACGACAGCGCTGCTGAGTTTCCGCGTGCATTTGTACGGATATCCAATGAGACCACCGCCGGAGCTACGGAGGTCATGCTCTGTGAGACGCTCTCGGCAGGCACCTAGTTGTTCTTTGGAGAGAGACTGAGCCATATGGGGATAAAACTCCGTGCACTGACGTCGACCCTCTCACCTTCACCTTTACCTAAATCCTCAGGGTCACTGGTTAAACGGCTCTAAATCCTCAAGCTCACTGGTTTAACGGCTCTAAAACCTCAGGCTCACTGGTTTAACGGCTCTACATCCTCAGACTCACTGGTTTAACTGCTCTAAATCCTCAGGCTCGCTGGTTTAACGGCTCTAAATCCTCAGGCTCACTGGTTTAACAGCTCTAAATCCTCATGCTCACTGGTTTAACGGCTCTAAATCCTCAGGCTCACTGGTTTAACAGCTCTAAATCCTCAGGCTCATGGTTTAACGGCTCTAAATCCTCAGGCTCACTGGTTTAACAGCTCTAAATCCTCAGGCTCACTGGTTTAACGGCTCTAAATCCTCAGGATGACTGACCATGCAGTCCTAAATCCTAATGCCCACCACCCCCATATCCTACTTCGCCTTATAAACTTGTAAAAGTAGGCAATAAAGACATAACACGGTCAACAAAGCTGGATTCTATATGGCTAATTTCTCTAACCATTAACGGTTTTCACTTTTGCCCGGAAGTCTCATTGCCAAATCTGTCCTAGCTTGTATTAGTAAAAAAAAAAAAAAGCTACCCCCCCCCCATCCCCACCCCCCAGTGGAGCTTAGAGACTCAACCAACTCACGCCAAGTCGTTGTAACCTTTGCTACTGCATGCAACTCACTCGATGTCCTCCCCATCTTTTTAAATGCATGTGTATTTTTTGGTTTGCCTTTATTTCTATGCCCTCAGGTTGAAAGGGAACATCAAGTACACTTAAGGGTAACTGCTTGTTTTATCAGGGCAAACGCAAGTTCCCTTTTGCTTTTCAGTTAGAATTATTCTTTGCGTCGTTTTCCTTTCCAATTTACAATGAGGGAACAATGCTTTGAGTTTCTGTTTGCCTTCTTATCGCTCACGTGTCAAATGTATTTTAAAGCGGAAGTTATACAGTACAGGACAATTTAACAGTTTTACCTGCCAAATTTCTTTCGTATGCTCTGTACCCCACAAAAAGGTAATCTTGCCGTACCCAATACGAAATATGTCTCACATAGTTTGACCAGTACTGAGGGCTCCCGAGCATAAGACGCTTGCGAATCACACGTGTTAAACGCCGAAAGAGGCTCCAACTTGCAAAAAAGTAATCAGTTGTTTCTTACTTTTGCAGCATTTATAGGTCTCCCATTTTACGGTAATAAAGTAATATCTCAACACTGTGTATTACAGAATATGATTCCCTAACAGTAAAACGTCTACAGACTTGGACATTCAAGCTTTGGGAGATCCGCTGCGAAGCTACAGAAGATGTGGACCATGAAACTGTGTGAGAGCTGGGATACTTATCTAAGACTCACCAGGACACTGAATCTATCAGCGATCGAAACACTTAATTTATCTACTATCAGGACACTGAAACTATCATATCAGGGTACTGAATTTATATACAGTCAGGACACTGAATCTATTAGCGGTCAAGACAGAGAATCTGTCGGCGGCCAGGACAGTGAATCTATCAGCGAT